GCTATATCCTGTAACACTGGTGGGCCCAGACATTATTTTAAGAATTTTCCAGTGGCAGCCAGTTGGAACTAGATCACGCCTGTGACACCGGCTACAACCCTCTGGTGCTCAACACCAACACCCAGTTAAATGGCTGACTTGGGGATTGCCCTCCAGATCCTCACTCCCTAGAATAGAGGCTGCTTCAGAACAGGGCCCTCATCTGTCATGGGGCTGGGATAACACCTGGCATAATGTTTGTAGAATGGATGCTCTTGACAGAATCTTAAACTTATAGGGAATCTAGGGGCAGTGAGCAGCAGCCATACTTGAGAAACATATGGACAGACAGCACCATCCCATTTACTTAATACTCATTCTACAAGTATTTTACTCAGTACCCACTGTGTGAAGGGCAACATTCTAGGCATGAAAGGTAAAAAGCCCTGCCTACCCTCCTTGAGTGTACAGTTGAAGAGAGATGGAAAATGAGCTATACATATAAAGAATATAGATGGAGAGGTTTGTGAAGAAGCTTTTTTAATAAAGTGGGTCAGGAATTAAATAGGGTGGTCAGGGAAGTCCTCATCGAAAGGTGAGATCTGAGCAGATTGGATGCAGGTGAGAAAATGAGTCAAGGGAATACAGAACATTCCAGCACAGGAAGTAGCTGGAGCAAAGGGCCTGAGGCAGAAGTGGACTGGACTGAGGGAGGGATCCAAGGAGAGATGGTCAGAGAGGTCAGGAGAGTTCCAGGTACCATCACTGAATAATGAACCACCCTAAATTTGGTGCATGCAATAACCAGTATCTTATTATGCTTAGGGATTCTGTGGGTCAAGAATTTGGACAGGTTAGTGAGAATGGCTGTCTCGGTTATTCAATGTTTGGGGCTTCCACTGGGGAAAAATGACTGTCTTGGGAAAACAAGAATGACTAAAAGTTGTGAAGATGTAGACATGGTGGGGGCTCTACATTCATCCCCAGTGAGTATGAAATGATGGCCAAAACCCCAGATGGGTTTGGAGACTCTAAATGAGGGCACCTAGATCCTTGTTCTTAGGTAAAGCCCCAGAAAGGTGTCAGGAAACCAGAAAGACAAAAGTGCTGCCTGGCCCATCAAAATAATTACCAGGCCCAATTCAAGAGTAATTAGTACTAGCCTAACACCCTAGCAGCACTGTTTTTATTTGCTGTTCCTGAATCTTGCCTTGTTTTAGGTTGATCTTTGGGGCATGAAGTCTCCTGTGTTTTGCAGTGTGGAGGCAATACAGTTTGTAGCAGCACTATTTACAATAGCTAAGATCTGGAAACAGCCCAAATGTCCATCAGTAGATGAATGGATAAAAAAGCTGTGGTACATATGCACAATAGAGTACTACGTAGCTATAAGAATGGAGTATTGTGCAGCTGTAAGAAAGAGATCTCTTATCCTTTGAGACAACATGGAGGGACCTGGAAAGTATTATCCGAAGTGAAACAAGCCAGAGAAAGACAAGTGTCATATGATCTCACTTATTTGTGGAATATAATGAACATAAGTCTGAGGAATGGGGTAGTCTCTGGGACGTAGAAGTGGGGTACAGGCTGACAATCCCCAGAAGAGGGGTGGTGGAGGAGAGATAAACCACAGAACTTATATGCATGTATGCATGAACAATGGACATGGACAACAAAGCTGGGGACAGGGCGGGGAGGGATAGGGAGGGGGGAATCAGTGGGGGGCAAAGGAGAAACGTCTGTAATAAAAATAAATAAAAAACTAAAAAAACAAACAAACAGACACATGATCTCCATTCTATCTCCAAACTACACCAAATGACAGGAAAGGATCTACGATGTGGCAATTATCTTTGCAGCAAGGTTCAGTGGAAATCCTACACCCCGAACCCCCAAATCTGGTTAGCTGAATATACCAGATGAGTAGTTTAACAAGCTTTAAAGGAGCTTTGTAAAGCATGTAAGTAAAGATGAAAATAAAACCCAATTAAAATTAAAATTCTAATTCTTCTGCCTGGCCGGTGTGGCTCAGTGGTTGAGCATTGATTGACACATGCACCAAGAGGTCACCAGTTCAATTCCTGGTCAGGGCACATACCCAGGATGTGGGCCTGATCCCCAGTGGGGGGCAGGCAGGAGGTGGCCAATCGATGTTCTCTCTCATCAATGATTCTTCCCCACCCCCCCCTCTAAAAATCAAAACAAAACTGAAATTCTCCTAAAAGGGCTCTGGGAGTGATTCTAACTAATGAAGCCTTTGCCGGCCACGTTTGATGAAGGGAAGGCTGATCCTGGGAGAGCCAAGATATCCTCTGGCCTCCTCCAGTCTCCTGTCCTCTTTCCAGTGGGACGGGCATTGGAAAGACTTTAAAATGCAAAAGAGGTGTTCAGGCCTCTGGACCTTATAGACCATTCCAGAAATAGCTACTCAAGAGCTAGGAACTTCCAGAAACTGATGCCATCCCCAGCTCTGGCATCCTGAATCATTTTCTGTAAAATACACTACACACATGGATAGAAAAAAGAAAATATTTGATAACAGATTTTTATGGAATGTGGTAAAATAGAGTACTTTTACTTGCTAGTTTTTTATAATTTAATTTGTTCTGCTTCAATTCCTTAAATGTATTGCTTTTATAGTCAGAAATAAAGATTTAAAAAAGTAAATGTCCTTGAATGGCGACAAACCAAACATCCAATAAGGAATCTTTGCTCTGCCCACCCAGGCAAGGGGAAGGTCCTCCCCACCACCCTTCCAGCATGTTACATGGCCCAGCTCTGAACCCCCAAAAGGCTAAGTTCCCAGAACAGAAGGAGCAGCCTTAGCAATACAGGTTATCTTGGATCACCAGGTATCAGAGGCCCACGTGAATTTTGGAGAGGACTGCTGGTATGAGAAGACACCACCCAAAGTAACTTTAAATCTTAGATCCCATGACCTCTCTCTGTTACAAGATGATTGTTTGAGCAACTCTGCAGGAATGCCAGGCTTACCCCCTCAGTTGCTTCTGATGAGACCCCACAAGGGAAGTACATCTAGCTGTCCTGGGTGCCTCTGCTGCCTATAGGCAGAAGATAGATGGTGCAAAGCACTTGTCTGCTGGAAAGAGCTCCCAAATGGAAATCACAACTCACAGAGCTGGGTCTAGGCATTACCACAATTGAACCACGCAACCTCAAAAAGGTAGGCAAGGCAAATGCTGAGGAAACAGACCCAAAAAGATGGAGGTGGGACAAGTGAACATGTGAGGAGGTAGCTGGCCCACTGCTTGGGCTGCCACTACTAATCTTTACTCTCTACCAAAGCTTTACAGACCAGGGGTGGTTTTCCCTGGCTGATCCGCACACCTTTAGCTTCTTGTAGGTAACCTGCATTACCTAAGAACTGTGGCTGTGTGCGCTACAACGCAACTTAGTCCTAAGATCATTAGCTGTCAAGTCTTTCAAGACAATAAACTTAAGAGCACATTCTCACTGAGGTTTAAAACAGACACCAGATGAAAGCCTCCCAACGTACTGTTCTTAAGTGGCCTCTATTCACCTACTGGCTTTAAGAAAAAACATTTCAAAATGTTCTACCCAAGCTCACCTGCACTCTTCTCTTGCAAAGTTCCTCGGCAGCTTGGCTTTCCTCCTGCTGAAGCCCACAGGGAAACTGCCTTCCCTTTAATCTTACCCCCAATTCCCACAGGCTCAGTGGCAGACAGAACAGATAACACAGCTTCTAGTCCCACAATACCCTGCCTTCTGCAACTCTGCTGGTTCCTTATAAACACTGAGTACAGGGCTATACAGATTGCTGTTAACTGACATTGGTAGGAAAAGGACCACAAATATCTCTCACCCACATGAAGCTTCATGAATGACCTTCAGACCCAGTTACTTAAGTCTCAAAGTATCTTCCCAAAAGTTAATTACAAAGATAGGATGTAAAACTTCACAGAGAAAACCTGGAAGCCACTACCTTAAATTTTCAGTCATCACCAATGATGAGACAGACATATCCTTTCTGAGAACATAGTATCACTCATTCAAGCCTGTCAAAAGCAAGTAAACCCAGATCTGGGGACCTTCTAAAACACTGGCCTGTGTCTTCAAATATGTTAACATTGCCCTGGCCGGTGTTGCTCAGTGGTTAGAGCGTCGGCCTGCAGACCAGAGTCACGGGTTCGGTTCCCACTAAGGGCACATACCTTGGGTGAGGTCTGTCCCTGGCACTGGTTGGGGTTGCATGGGTGGCAACCACTCGATGTGTCTCTCACATTGAAGTTTCTCCCTCTCTCTCTCTTCCTCCCTCTCCCTCCCGCTCTATCTGAAGATAAATGCAAAAAAAAAAGTTAACATGAAAATTAGAACAAAGACCAGGAGGACTGGGCAGATACTGAAGTCTCTGCTTGAACTGCAGTCTTGGGCCTGTTTTCCACAAAAAACACTTCATATGGTATCAGTTTATTATTTTATTATATACTTTATAAAAAGTCCAAACACAAACATCCACTCCCCCCTCCCCCCATTAGGGAGGATGTTCACATCTTAATGTATCTGGCCATTTTCTAAAGTAAACCAAATTGGTTTTTATACCCTTAAGATACTTCTAGCTCCTCAAATATTTACATTCCAACTACAAAAATGGTGCTGCAAAGGGTACAGAAAGAAAAATGAGATGTTCTTGCTCTTGTTGATGACTAAAGAACTCAGTAAAGGGGAAAGTTACCTAATTAAGGAATGGAATGTTTGTTACCTGTAACAAGTTGTTGAATTATTTGTTGTAATTGGCACCTACCCTAAAATAACTGGTTTGTAGGGACATGAAACAGTTAGACTACATGTGCCATACAATTGCTTATACTTATTTCCAGAAGGCACATATTTCTTATACCCTTTCTTAATAACTAAAGACAAATTACAGAGAATCCAGTTTTAGATTCTGCCCACTTTGACCTATTTTAAATGAACAAAGAAAAGATTAGTTATGTTCAAGTAGCATGTAACAGAAATATTTTTAAACCAACATGGTTAAGTGTTAAGATTTTTAGAAATAAAAATATTTATTAACATAATTTTAAACTAAAGTCAAAGGTAATAAATCTTCTGTGGTAATGATTTAAGTGCAAGTGATGCTGGCTTTCACATTCATATTCTTCATTCAGAGAAAAAGCAGATCAGTTGTTCTTGAACAAGTCAATGCAGCTTTGCAAGAGGGAGACATTGTTCTGGAAGAAAAACAATTCAAGGCAGACCAATGAATCACTAGAGTCCAAGACTTCCTATATATCTGTAAGAATAAAACTCAAACCACTGACCAAACTTTTCACAAGAGATATGAAGCCAGCCAAACTGGGTTGGTACTTTTCTTCATTAAATCACAATTAATCAGCCCTGCCTGGTGTGGCTCAGTTCGTTGGAGCGTGGGCCCATGCACCAAAAGGCAGTGGGTTCAATTCCTGGTCAGGGTGTGTGTGGAAGGCAACTGACAGACATCTCTTTCACATTGATGTTTTTTCCTCTCTCTGTGCCTTCCTCTCTCTAAAATCAATCAATCATTACAATTGAATCACAACCTACAACCCTCCACCCCAATTTCACATTGGTGAATGTCCCTCAGAGGGTCTGGGACAACTCACAGCTAAAGGCTAGTAGTTGCAGCTCTAGCACCTCCACCCTCCCCAGCCCCAGGCTTGTTCTCATTGCAGTCATGTCAATTCTGCTTACTGTGAATTAGCCTAACTACTACATAAATAAGTTGTTCTTTGAAGGTGAAGGCTTTGACAACACTGGACAAAAAGTTGCTAAAAACTAGTTATGGGTGAGATTTTTAAACGAGATAACAAATGATAATATTTATACAGGATTTTGCACCAATTGCTTTACACAGTTCTCACTTTAAAGGAATTCAGAAAACCTACAATACCCAGCACATTATGGGCATAATTTATGTATAAATGATACTTCAAAACTCCAATAAAGGGACCTGGACTTAACAACTGAATAAACATATCTCTGTTGTAGTCATAATAAAGGAACTCAAAACACAAATGTTCTAGTCTTCTTCCTTTAACCAATGCTGATGGCCAGTGACAGTTCCCTCCTCCAATGGCTCCCTGCTGACCCAAGGTCTGACTCAGTTGCCTTGGACCAAACAGCACTCTTGGGGGACCAATCTCAGCTGCACCCAGGAAACACCTCAAAAAACCATACCCAGTTCTAAGTGAATGGGTCTGGGCAGCAAAAAGTCTTAAAAACTCCCTAGTAGATTCTAATGTGCACTCACCATTGAGAACCATTGTTCTCTCCAACCTTTCTGTGCAAAATTAAACTAGACATCAATATGTATCTATTTGGAAGTTTTTCTTCCTTTTGAAACCAAAAAGGAATATCGAAGACATTTAGCAAATTATCTTAAAAATTATTTTCCACAAAAACTCCAGATAATTAAGAGATATAAAGGTATGACAGATGTGTTCAAAAATTGTTAGAATAGGTGTGGTCCATGGAACTTTGAGAGGGAGGCAAGGTAGCCACCATGAAGAATACTCTTCTCAAAAGCAGTATTTCACCAAGATGTTACAAATTTTTGTTTTGTAGCAGAATAAACACACTTTAACAAGTGGCTTCCACCTATATGACGGGGATAATAAACTGGAAAATAACTAAAAAACAAAACAAACAAAACACAAAAACCCTAAAAAGTTGTTGGCTTAATCTGAATACTTACCCTAGCATGCTTTATTTCCAGTTCAGACATTTCAATTAAATTCTTTCTAAATGCTGCCACTCTCTTTCGTTTGAAATTGCTTAGTTCTACAAAAGAGAAAGTTTACCAAAAAAAGTTGAACAATTTTCATCTTTAACTTCCAGATATCATTTTTACAAATTATCTACAAAGATTTGAAGCACCACATTTTCTCACATTCTTATTATCTCTGCAATTTGTACACATCCAATTTTATGGACGGTTTGCCACTGCCTTTAAATAAGCACCACCACCCAATCACTGAGCATGGAAATTCAGAGAAGGGCTATTGATTTAAATAATTTCTGAGATGAGCAGCCTTGCCCTTAACCAATGTTTGTAGGTAGAGGGTTAGGGAGATGGTGACCTGCACATATTTGAACCAATAGCTTTTTAAATTATTGTTTTTAACTTTGAAAACCCTCCCTAGCTCAAGCTGGTGCTGTAGGGTACTTAGGAGCAAACTTAACCCTGTGCCATGTCTATCTGTACAGCACTGTCCAAGAGATATACAATGCAAGCAATCACATTAAAAAGTAGAAACTCAAATGTTTTAGTGATGTGTTAATGGCCATATTTTGATTATACAAGGCTAAATGGGTCTTCCCAGATGTCAAGATAAGCTCGCATTGTTCCTCTAAGGCCTGAACACAAGACCAGTACCCTACATTAAACCATCTGCCTGCCCACACCATTGTTCTACTTTGCTCATTCAACTGAGTCAGATTGGTTCAGCCACAAATCTTATGAAGAACCGGAACCAAAGGCAAAGAGGTTAAAACCCATTAATGCCTGAATTGTCTGGAATACTGCACTTTTTTAAAAAAATATTTTTTCTTTATTGATTTGAGAGGAAGGGAAAGGGAAATAGAAACATCAATGAGAGAGAACATTAATTGGCCACTTCCTGCATGCCCCACAATGAAGACTGGGCCCACAACTTGGGCATGTGCCCTGACCAGAAATCGAACCAGCGACCTCTTGGTGCGTGGGTCGATGCTCATCCAGTGAGCCACACCAGCTGGGTTGGAATACTTCACTTTTAAATATCATACACCCAGGCTTACTATTTGAATAAAGAGGATAAAAATCTAACAACCCAGAAACAAACCTTAAGCAATAAGGACAGGCCTAAGTTGCCACCATTTTAAAACTTTGGTTTTTCTTTTATTCTCTCTAACTCTCAGAGCTACTAAATTCTGGAATATATAATAAGCTAACATTTCAACTCAGTTTAAAAGTGTGTTCCTTACAGATTTATATTAGCTGCTAAAAGGGGGGAGGGGCAAGAATTTAAGAATAGGGCAGAAAGGAGGAGGTTCCTTTGAAAGAATCCAAAAGACAGCCACATAAACGTGTCTGCATGCCATCTGCAAAGTTTTTGTATGGAGAAGCTCTGCTCCTTTTAGTTAAGGCATTTCAGTTCTGAATAGGTATGAGCCAAGACAAAGGAGTAGAACTGTATTGTTAGCTATTATCAGGATGTTTCCAAATATATCTAGATTTTGAAACTACATAAAGAAAAATATTTTGGGAGAACAGTCTTAAAATGGGATTGGGATTTCTCAAGGGAACCCGAGCTTTAAGGTGGCAAGGAAGGTGTTTTGAGGGTGAATCAAATACAGACTCACAATAATAACGTTTGTTCTGAAAGACACATTCTTTACTTTTTCATTTGGCATGTTTCACGGCCCTTAAGAACTACAGGGTAGTGAGATTCCCCAAGTTAAGCTTTATTAAAAGGGAATGAGGAAAGGCAAGAAAAACCCTGTGGATATATATGGACTGAAACTGAATAATCATCATGATTCATGATTACTGAGGGGAGAGAAGCAAAGTGCGTGTGCATACACCCCTATATTTCCTCGCTGCCAGCAGAAGGGCCCAGAAGCAGAGACTCTTCAGGAGCAATGAGCATATTTAGCTCCCAGGCTTGATACTATTTCTTAAGCAACAAGAATCTGAACTCCTGAAAGAAATGGCAGTTTCCCGGGCTACAGCAGAAAAGGTGTGAGAATAACATAGAACATCTAATTGTTCAAAAGAATGTATCAGCTTAAAGGCCCTCCTCACTGGCTAAGTCTCAACAATTTGAGCTCAAAAATAGGTAGTACAATAATAAATCTTAAAACTATTTAAAAAAAATAAAAATCCATGATTCTAATAAAGAAATAGGAAAAAAGAGAAGGCTTCTGCTTAAAGGATAATGTCAAGTGCTAGTTTCGAAAGGGAATGCTAGAATTGGGGGAAGGGGACAATCTCCTTCCTGCAGAAGTCAGAGTCAAGGTTGGTTCAGGCAAGAATCATCAACACAAGGCTACATTTTGGGGAAAAGTTTGATGAACAGGACATATGCAGTCTTAAATCGTCTCCACATGAATTGCTAATAGTGGCATGGAGAAAAAATATTAGCTGCACAGTGGAGAAATCCAACAATATCTGACAGGGTAATCAAAATTAATACCATAAAACTTTAAAATTGCTTAGGGGAAGAGGGACACAACATGCCCTCAGATACCATACCCTAAGAAGCACACATTATTTATATAGTGTTCTGTTGGAAATGAACAACTGGAACCTAACCATGAGGAAATAAATCAACCAAAAATGAAAAACATTTTATTTGTAAGAAGAAATTATGGTCTTCAAAAAGGCAAATGTCTTAAAAAAAAGAGGCTGACAAAGGTTCCTTCCAAATTAAAGATTTAAGAGTTATGATAACTAAATATAATCCTAGACTGGAGGACATTGAGACAAAATTAGAATATAGGTTGTGTTAAATTGCATTACAGTTTACCCAAGTTGAGAAGTGTTCTGTAGGGAAGTGAAAAGAAATGCACAAAAAGCTTTTTAGGAAAAAAAAGACCAAAATATAGAAAACTTAAAAAAAAAAAAAAAAGTGTTTATAAAAACACACACACGGGGAGCACATGCGGCAAGTTGACAAAGCAGAAAGGACAAACTGTGAACAGGTAGGTGACCCCAGGTAAAGGTATGTATGGTGTTCTTCACAGTATTTGTGCAACTTGTAAGGTTGAAATAATGTACAAATAAAAGCTAAGTAAAAGGTAAAGAGTGGCCCTGCTTAACCTTCTTTTGCAGATTCAGAAAGCTGTTCAAATTTCTGGCAGCATTCCTGCTGGTGTGCCTCAGCCAACTTGACATCTTTGCTTTTTAACCGGGCCTTGTCCAATGCTTTGTTTGAGTTCTCATAGTCAATGAGGGCTTTGGTACGTCTGTATAAGAGATCCTAAGAAAATTAACAGATGAAAAAATGGTAGTTAAACTATCCCAAGTACTATGATGCCAAGGCACTGCCTGGAATGTTAAACGGCAAGAATCTAATTTAGCTCTACAACCCCCTCCCTATTACTATTTTTTTAATCTCGAGATTAGGCTGGGAAAAACTTGTATGGCATTGAGAGCTTTTTCAGAATTCTTAACGTGGGTCAAGAGAATAAAAAAAAAAAGAAACCCAACCGTGAAAACGAAAGGATTTTTCTAGGAAAGTAATTTCAAAAAATTAACCACTGTGTATTAAAACAGGCGAAGTTACTGCAGGGTGAGTCACCTGATGCAGACAGAATCCAAGTGAGCAATGAGGTAGTTAGAACATTCTCATTAACTCTGCCTCTAGGGGTCTACCTCAAGGATCTCACCTGAAATATTCTTTGCAGTTTTACAGCAAAGTAAGTTACCTTAGTATTAAAATGGAAAGTTTGATGCCTGTATGACAGATGCATGAGGCTCAATTACATCCATTTTTGTGTATGTGCAAAAAACTTGTTTATCATCAGCACTTAAATCCATTATAAAGATAATCAAGAGTGGGTTAAAAAATCCAAATATAACACTAAAAAACCATGCCAAAAGACAATTAAAATAAAATGAAGGGGAAAATAATTTCTATATCCTGGCGGCATTTTTCTGTTACATATTTTTCCTATCTAATTTTATGTTGGCCGATTCTGTGTATTACACATTCTTCTTGCCACTTTGTCTTGCTTTTGATAAGTAATGCTTTATGACTTAAAGGCTGTAGTGACAGAATTCAATAAAAACCAAATCCCAAAACCTTTTCTGCCTCAGAAAGAGACCCTTTGGAAAATCTTCAGTTATGTCCCATATCCAATAACTCATAACACCCCCAAAACTATTCTGTCTACTCAGCACAACCTCTACTGCCCCCAAGCAATGTAACATAAATTAAGGATACAATGCCACAAAAAGGCACATCCCTGTGGAAAGATTTCAATCGAAAAATGAAACTGAAAGAAAATGAAGAATCTCATGTATGTTCCCACAAAACAATGGAACTTAAGAATAGAGGCTGGCCCTGACCGGTTTGGCTCAGTGGTTAGAGCATTGGCCTGCGGTCCGGAGAGACCAGGTTCAGTTCCCGCTAAGGGCACGTACCTCGGTTACAGTTTATCCCAGGCCCTGGTTGGCTGTGTGGGTGGCGACCACTCGATGTGTCCCTTTCACATCGATGTTTCTCTCTCTCTCTCTTCCTCTCTCTCCCTTCCACTCTACCTGAACAAAAAATGGAAAAATGTCCTCGGGTGAGGATAAAAAAAAAAAAGAATAGAAGCTGGCCGGGCCGGTGTGGCTCAGTGGCTGCGCATCGACCCATACACCAAGAGGTCGCCGGTTTGATTCCTTGTCAGGGCACATGTACAAGTTGTGGGCCAGATCCCAAGTGGGAGGGCATGCAGTAGGCGGCCAGTTGATGTTCTCTCTCATCGATGTTTCTCTCTCTCCCTTCCTCTGTCTCTAACATCAATAAAGAAAAAAGAAAAAAAGAACAAAGAGGCTAATTTTCTATAAATGCCTGATTTACAGAAGAATTTCCTCACTACTGAACATCCACCCATGAACTTACTGCTTGGGACCAGCACTCTCAAGCCAATGAACTTACTGCATTTCTGGTAACTCAAGCTTGCCTCAGTTTACATTTCTATTTAGGTCCACATCAGTTACACAAACAATTCTGACAAATTCCTATCTTCCTTAATTTTTTCTTGATATTTTAAAAATCCTCACCCGAGGATATTTTTCCGTTTATCTTAAGATAGAGTGGGAGGGAGAGAGAGAAACACTGATGGGAGAGAGCCATCAATTGCTTGCCTACTGCACGACTGGGAAAGGAACTGCAACTGCGGTACACATCCTTGACTGGAATCAAACCCGAGACTCTGGTCTGTGGGCCAGCGCTCTAACTGCTGAGCCAAACTGGCCAGGGCCTTCCTTCCTTTTTAACAAAGAGAATACATTTCTAACATTAGACCACTTAAGGGTCATGGCAAGGCAGACTTAAAGAACTTACTTTAGCAGCTTCTATGTTGAGCATGTAGTATCTAAGGAGCTCTGTCAGCTTTAAATCTTCATCTGAGGAGACTCGACTCTCTATTTTCTATTAAAATAAATAAATAAAGGTCAACATTACCAAAGCAGAAATCCAAAGATTATAAAATATATAATGAAGACCAACATAAAAATCCTTACCCTAAGTTTTTCAAATAGCTCAGCAACCTTCAACAAGTACCTGAAATATATACATGATTTTAGTTTAAGGTCTTGAATTATGCATGATGTATTTTCTTATCAACTAGGACATGAATGGATAAATTCAGGAGTCCTAGCCTTTGGTGTTCCAGAGTCAGCATATCAAGAAAAAAGAACCAAAGTATCAAAGCAGTGCTTTCATCATAGTTGACCCAAGCCAGTAAAGATGATTATATGAAACTGAGCACATTTATAGTGTCACAGTCATGAGTATCAATCTCTCTTTGGGCCCTGGCCGGTTTGGCTCAGCGGTTAGAGCACTGGCCTGTGGTCCACACAGACCCGGGTTCGGTTCCCACTAAGGGCATGTACCTTGGTTGCAGTTTGTCCCCGGCCCTGGTTGGGTCATGTGGGTGGCAACCACTCGATGAGTCCCTTTCACATCGATGTTTCTCTCTCTCTCTCTCCCCCTCCCCCTCCCACTCTATCTGAACAAAAAACGAAAAAATGTCCTTGGGTGAGGATTAAAAAAAAAATCTCTCTTTGGTACCTTATCCCTTCGGCCATCTTGCCATGCAAAACATGTGTTCCCAATTCTTTTTTTTTAATTGGTTATTTAGAAAAAGGAGAGGGGGAGGGAGGAGAAAGAGAGAGACATAGATGCGTTGCCTCCCACCTGTGCCCCAACCGGGAACTGAACCTGTCTCCTTTTGGTGTACAGGATGACACGCCAACCAACAGAGCCACACTGGTCAGGGCATGTACCCAATACTTATCCCATGCAAACCGTGTTAATCAAGGTCAGGTTCTAATGAACCATCATCATGTGTGCCCCCAAACCATAAATATATACTATTTTATCTTGATTCTACCATTAACTGACTTCTTTCAAATCAGAAATACTCACCTATTATACTAAGCCTAGGTATGAAATAGAATACTGTCCCATACCAAAAATGGTCACGATAGAGAAGCTGGGAAAAATTCAAATTATAAAAAAACTCAGGATCAGACTGAGGTCATATATTATCCTTATGACCACCTTAATCAAAAAGAAATGGAGACATGTAATAAGGGTTTGACAGCAATAAAGGCTTTGACAAAACAGTCACATGTTTGGTACAGAAGTGCCCTCTGAGTCCTCTACAAAGTGTCTGTGGTTCAGAGGGGGCGTAAGATTTGAGCTGCTAGAGACTATGTACCCTGGATGATCCTGTACTCAAGAGCAGAACTGGAACTACATAGTCATGCATTATACTTTTTGTTGTTAATCCTCACTCAGGGATATTTTTCCATTTATTTTTAGAGAGAGTGGGTGGGGGGAGAGAGATGGAGGAAAAAAACATCAATGTGAGAGACACATCAGTTGCCTCCCAAACCTATTCCAACCAGGCCAGAGATCGAACCTGCAACCCAGGTACATGCCCTTGACGGGGGATCAAACCCGAAACCCTTCAGTGAGTGGGCCAACACTCTAACCACTGAACAACACAACCCAGGACTCAATATACTTTATTTATTTACACCACCCAGCAGTTTTTGATTAGAATTAGGGGAAATGATTTTCCAACAAAAACTTACTTTTTGATGACTGTGGGCTCTTCTAAAGCCAGGCTATGCAGGCAGGCTGCAGTGTGAATATAATCATCTGCAACATCTGTAGAAACAAGGACAGCCCTTTTTATATGAACAGAGCTGGTAAATCAGCAAAGCTGGGTGACTAGTGTGTGAATGCTATTTACTTTTATGAGATCTGGTCATTTTATCAGATTTTGCACACGAATCCTTGATCCTATTATAATAGGTAATGAGGAAATTCTTCTCTTGCTCAAAGAAGTCATCCACCTCCTAAAAGGAGAGAGAGAAAAAATTCAAGCAGCAAAACTTTTCAGAATATGAGTATGTATTTTGAATTAGAAGAAAACATTAAGTAAATAAGCTGGTGCGCATTAAGTTTAACCTTTACAGACCAGGGAAATCCAAACTGACAAGATACTATTTCATACCCAAGATTAGCAAAAACCAAATGTGGGCAGGAAATGTAAACAGACAACCATTTTAAAGAGCCATTTAACAATGCCCAGTGGTATCCCTAAGATCAAGCAATTCTGCTGAAGCAACAGTTCTGCTTAGTGGGTTGCTACCTAGCCTTGAGATAGCACATCTGTGAGTGTGCACTTCTGTATAGAAGAGGGATGAATTTGGCTGCTTTCGGACTAAGAGGCAATACTGGAATCTGGTGGGCACTAGCCAAGGACACTAAACACCATGCAATACATGGGTGCAGGTCAGTCCCACATACTTTAAAGTACACCAATGAGATCATCAAAGAGCTTCCAAATTTCTCACATTGCCCCCCTGTACTCGGCACACACATTCTGGGCTCCTTACTCAAGCCCTCAAGTGACAAAGTTTAGATACCAAATAATAGCTATTAAGGTAACACAGTTAAAAAGGAGAATGTGGGGGCTGAGGAACAAAGAAATAAATCACACCTATGAGGTTAATGAGAGACTTATATATTAATTTTTTTTAAAAATCCTCACCCAAGGAAAATTTTCCATTTATCTTCAGATAGAGTGGGAGGGAGAGAGAAAGAAACATCAAAGTGAGAGAGACATATCAATTGGCTGCCTCCCGCATGACCCTGACCAGGGCCGGGGACCGAACTGCAACCGAGGTACATGCCCTTGAACTGAATTGAACCCAAGACTCTGGTCCGCAGGCTGATGCTCTAACCATCAAGCCAAACTGGCCAGGGCAAGACTTGTATATAAATTTGATTTTCTAGAATAGTACTGAATAGCAGAAATGTTTGAGCCATGTGAGCCATTAAAATTTTTCTAGTAGCCACATTATTAAAAAACAGGTGAAATTACTTTAAATATTTACTTAACTAAGTATTATCTAAACCAGAAGGTACCAGCAAGATATATTATATTTTCTTTACCACATAAATAAATTTAAAAATTTGGTTCCTTAACTGTACCAGCTAATTACATGTCCAAGTGTCTGAGGCTACCAAAATGGACAGTACAGTTCTGGAGAATGGCATGAAAGACTACTTTTGTGGCTAATTTTCTTTAAAAAAATAATTTAACGGCTCTCCTTACAAAAAAGGGAGAAAATAGGGTCACCTATCCACATGAAGTCAAGACTTCCCTTAAACAGCTAAAAGCCACTTACCTTAACCCCAGAAAAAAGGACTTCATCAGCACTTTTAACCACACTTTTGAAAAAGCCACCAAACATCTCTTTGGTATTTTTCCGCCTAACACTTAGCTGAAGAAAGAGAATTCCAAAAGAATAGTTTATGGTACATACATTTTCTAGGTTCTTTTAAAGAAATCTGAGTAAATTCCAGTAACATTGTTTACTAGTATAGGCACACACATAAGATAAAGACGTAAGACAAATTCCATCTTAACCCACCAGATCTAAAATATTGAATAAACAGCCAAACCTAAATGCAGATCACAATTCTAAAAGTATGGCATAAAAGAGACATTTTGAAAACTAGGCACCAAGTTTTTCTTTCTTTCTTTTTTAATTGATTTTAGAAAGAGAGAGCGAAATGCCAATTAGCTACTTCCCATAGGTGCCCTGACCTGGAATCAAACCTCAACTCTTAGGTGTATGGGACAACACTCCAACCAATTGAGCAACACTGGCCAGGCAAAAGACACTGAGGAAATTTCTAAGCCAGGGCTTAACTCATACAATATTAACAGAAACATAATATTAAAAAAAATATAGAAGGTCAAAATCTTTAAGCGGCCTTTTATAAAATTGTCTCACGTAACTGTATATTTTTAAAGTGCAGTATGCTTTACTGGATCATGGGAATGGAATTTAAAAAATGCCTTACATCCTGATCATATTCCAGGAAAACATGAAAGTTGCGATCTTTATTGAGAACGGGGTGAGAAGAGAGCCGCTGAAGAAAGACTTCATGGGAGGATACAGTTTTCTTAAAGACAGCGAGATATTCACTAAAAGAGAAGATACAGTACATTTAGTTGGCACTGCTCAACTAGCAAACACTACTGCACCCAGTTATCATCATTTAGTTCATGTCACTAAGCAAAATATCTGAAGAACATTTTTGGTATAAATTTATTATCTAATTAGATAATAAGGTAGTTGCCATTTTGAAATCTGTGGAATGAGCCAAAGAGGGAAAGTGAAATTATAACTGGGGTTGATGGAGCAGGTATGCAAAGCCTGAAACCTACATGCAAATCACGGTTGGTATTTTAGCAGCCAACATAATAACATTAGTTGCTTTGGCAATGAAAACCCTTTAATTCTGCAGGTATATAGACAGCACTGATTCATCATCAGAAGTTATACCACACTCAAGGACAGATGAACTTAAGGGAATAAATCTCATTTTGGAACATCAGCATAAAGCTGGTGAATATACTCAAGATCCTCCCCTAAATTCCCAGCCTTTAAAAGTCCTCAATAAAGGATACAGCGCTCTCCCTCCCAGAAATATACCCACCCCCATCTTTCCTCTCAGGTATGCATCTCCTGAAACTCAAAAGTCTCTATGAGACTTGCAACCAGGCAGTGGCAGCTTGTTCCGGACTGACCCTATGAACCTGTGTCCAAGGCTTGGTTTTCTCTGACTTTTCAGTGAGTCAATAGCACCCCAGCTTAGGCTCTGGCTCTCTTCTGTTGCCTTTATCCTAAGTCCTTCCTTGTTTCACTGCCTCCAGCTTTTTTTTTTAAATCCTCACCTGAGGACATCGTCATTAATTTTTAGAGAGAGAGAGAGACAGACACATTGACTGGTTGCCTTCCACAAGTAGCCTGACTAGAGCCGGAGATCGTACCTGCAACCCCCCTGATATGTGCCCTGACCAGGAATGGAACTGGTGACCTTTCAGTGTATGGGATGACATTACTACTGACTGAGCCACACTGGTCAGGACACTGTCCCTAGCTTTAATAAATGTACTCTCAAAAACCACACACACACTAAAGTTATAGAGCAGCTTTGCCTCAATCTAGACATTGAAGATCACACTGAACTTCCTGATGGTAGAAACTTGAGTCTTGTGTTTAGTACTTTATCCTCAGCAATGGTCATGATAGTTCCTGAAGTGTGCGAATCAATCAGGACCTGGAGGTGTGTAGGAGCACTGGTCCTAGATAATATGGACCTTGGGCAGAGCATTAAAGAGAACTGTTGAAATGAGCACCCAAATTTCAATACACTGATGGTAGAAGAGGGAAGGAAGCCAAGATAAAGTACAAGGACGGCTTCACAAGAAACTTTAATGCAAACCTCCAGTTATGATAGAGAATAAAAAAACCATTGTTTGAATTAAATTACTATCAAAGTAAAATAAACTTCCAGTGAACCTGGACTTCTTCCAAACCCGAAATGTGGTTATTATTCAGAATGCTTCTTTGTAAGAGCATTCACTGCAATCGAGTTTCAACTATGTTTCCAGTAATCAAACTTTAGGAAAGAAAGCACTGTATGCTATCAGCAGCTTGAAGAATCATTTATATATGAAGTTACAAAGATTTACTTCAACATGCCAGACTAGCTAGCATTCCACAAGTATGGTATATACAAAGGGGAAAACTACTCATCTGTCCAGTGCTAGTGGCCCCAGAAAGTCAAGGTCTAAAACTTAAGACTATGCCTCACACTCTGCAAAATGTCATTTTAGAAGACAGCACTAGTAACTAACTGCTATAAGGGTCCCATCAAGAAGATCCACTTACGCTTCCAGCTCTTGCTTCATCTTAGCAAATTCTTCTTTGGTCATAGATCCTTCACCCTCCCCAAGTTTCTGCATCTTCTCTCGAGGGCCATCAAAGTCAGGCTTTGTAGGAGCAGGTGGAATCTGCAGTAGAGGCAGGTAACTCATGAGCATTCTCATCACAGCAGTGATATTCTAGTTGGGGCCTGTGCACAAGAAGCCCCCAGCCCTGTGGCCAACCTGTTTTTCTCTTAACCTTATTCCTTTTGGCCATTTAACAGTGTCCACCCCACAAACGGGCAGTCACTTGTTCAGTTTATTATGGACAGTTGTTAGGGTACTATAGTGTTTATCCTGCTTCACTGTCAGTTTAAAATTTATATATTATAATCAGTACTAAAATAAAGCTGATGAAGAATCATCAAGATGTAGACTTCAAAAGGAATTTTTAATTCCAAAGGATAATCAAAAGATACTAATACTGAGTGAAGAGTACATTCTTAAACATGTACTAATTTTCTTAATTTGCCCAAATTCTTCAGTCTGCCTAACAGGACAAACCACCCTTAATTCTCCTTTAAAACCAGTAAGTTTCTTCCTCAGCCATGCATTAACTCTCAAGAGCTGAACACAACTGCCTCCTTTACTCCTTTAGCAGACTACAATACTTTTGAGAATATAAGACATTATGTTTCAATTAATTCATAGCTATAACACTATTCTCATATACTTTAGACTTTATCAGCAATGATTAGCACATATTCTAGTTGGCAGATGAAATCAGATTTTTCATAATCCATTATAAAAAACGGGTAAAGTCTCTTTAAACAAAATAAACAGAAGAAACCTGCTTCAGTAATTACTTCATTTTGCAAAATGCACTTACAATAAGCCCAGCATAGTCTGCAGTTTCAGAAAGAGTGTCATGTAGCCAAACAAAGTCTTCATGTTGCCTTGTAACAGAAAACTCTGGGCTCTGAAACATGGGCAGTGTGGTCTGTAAATAAAAGAGAAGTTAACTGGTTACTACCATTTTAGATAAAGTGGTTTGAGTTTCTTGAGCTGTACTATGAGAAAATTCTGCATAATAATACACCACACTGAGATCTAGTAAAGAATGAAAAGCAGCAACACACAATCTCCTGCCACTATGAAATTCATAGCCAAGATTCAACATGTTCTTTAAGAAATTATTTTCACAAATTTCCACCTTTAAGGTCAATTCAGTTAAATATAATATGTTGTCTTCACCTTCACACTGCCTTTTGAGTAACTGATCAAGCCACCATGGTATTAAGAGAAAAAAATGTGGGAAAGGACCTTAAAGATATGTATTCATTTTACTTAAATGGGTGCCTGTTTTCTCCCCTGTAAAGCAGGAAAATAAAGCACCACTATAAGGTTGTTATAAGACAAGCATTCAATACATTTCAACTACATAGTATGAAAGGAGAAAGGAGGTTAAAAAGTATTCCTGAAAGAACTGATTCTGAGAAACTAAGCTTTTTAAAACATATATTTTTTATTGTTTTTTTTTTTTTTTTTAGAGAGAAGAAGGGAGATAGAAACATCGATTGGCTGCCTCCTGCCCGCTCCCTACTGGGGGCTGAGCCAGCAACACAGTCATGTACCCTGACTGGGTGGGAATCAAACTGAGACCTCTCAATCCACTGAGCACACTGGCTGGGCCTAAACTATCTTTTTACAATTTTCCAGATTGGCATATTGCTTTTGTCAAATTAAAATTTTGGAGACAGCCCTGGCAGGGTGACTTGGTTGAAATGCTGCTCCTTACACCAAAAAGATGGTGGGTTCAATTCCTGTTCAGGATGAGTACACGAGGCAATCGACGGACGTTTTTCTCACACGTTAATGCCCCTCTTCCCCCACCAAAATCAATAAAAAACATATCTCGGGTGAGGATTAAAAAAAAAATTGGATAGGCCCTAGTCTGGTAGCTGGTAGCTCAGTTGGTTAGAGTGTTGTCCCGATATGCCAAGGTTGTGTGTTTGACCCCTGGTCAGGACACACATAAACAGCAACCAATGAATGCATAAATAAATGGAACAAATTGATGATTCTTTCTCTCTCTCTCTCTCTCTCTCTCTCTCTCAAATCAATTAAAAAAAATGAAAACTAAAAGTCTGAAGGCAGGAAAAAATCTTCTGAATCACAAGAAATAGTGAGGCAAAGGCCAAAAAATTAGTAAACCTGGGGAAAGCACACATTCCCCTAGCATGCAAATTAAAAACAAAGGTGGAAGATTTCAGCAGTATAGGTAGATGGCTCCACCTACATCACTTTGCCTGATTTGCAACATCAGCAATCCCAGGGTTCCACTATAGTAGAAAACACTGCAGCAAGAGCACTTATTTAGAGGCTCACTACAAGACAACGGAGGTGCTCACTTAGCAGGAGTGGTACCCTGCAAACAAATGACAACCATTCCAGTTCAGGAAGTATCTTCTCACAGCCACGGTAAATAACAAGGCTGTAACACCTAGCATTGTTTTTATTATTGAAGGCATTCTGTCACTTACCTTTGTGTGTACTGTAAACTTGACCTTATCTCTCTCACTGAGTGCATCAGGTATGTCAATCTGAAGCGAGGGATCAATGTTCAAGTCCACAGATACAGATCTCAGCTGAAATACATTTTTTTATTATTAGTCTCAAATTCATTTAGTCCTAAAAAGTATCCTTCCAAAAAATGGGAGCTAGCAATTAAAAAGCAGTCTAGCCCTGGCCAATTTGGCTCAGCGGTTGGAGCGTCCGCCTGCGGTCCAGAGAGACCCGGGTTCGGTTCCCGCTAAGGGCACGTACCTCGGTTGCAGTTTGTCCCCGGCCCTGGTTGGTCGTGCGGGTGGCAGCCACTCGATGTGTCTCTTTCACATCAATGTTTCCCTCTCTCTTCCTCTCTCTCCCTCCCACTCTATCTGTACAAAAAATGGAAAAATGTCCTCGGGTGAGGATAAAAAAATAAAAAAATAAAAAGCAGTCTACACAAGATCGTTTAAAACAAAGTCAGTTGAGCCCTGGCCGGTTTTGCTCAGCGGTTAGAGCGTCAGCCTGCGGTCCGGAGAGACCCGGGTTCGGTTCCCGCTAAGGGCACGTACTTCGGTTGCAGTTTGTCCCCGGCCCTGGTTGGTCGTGCGGGTGGCAGCCACTCGATGTGTCCCTTCACGTTGATGTTTCTCTCTCTCTCTCCCACTCTATCTGTACAAAAAATGGAAAAATATCCTCGGATGAGGATAAAAAAAAAAAGAAAGAAAGAAAAAAAAAAGTCAGTTGAAATAAATCTAAGTTTATTTGAAACTGTAGGGAAATCTCTTAAATATATGGATGGGTACAAAGCATTCCTGTGATCTGAACAAAGCCACTATGATTTTAGTATCATGTGCATTACTTATTTTATGTCTGTGTGAAAAGAACACAAAAAACTTTAACCAAATACACGGAAAAACTTATTAAGAAGGCTTGAACTACATAGGATGAAATCTTAAACTTCTTACATACTGCCCAAACTACAAACACCCAAGAGGCATTAACCAGACCATTCATATATCTGAAAGAAGAGACTAGGAAAACAGTGAGCAGTCATGTGGTATGGGATCCTAGGTCAAAAGATAAGAAAAATCCGGCTCAAGAGTGGACCTACTCATATTTATTATATTCAGGGAATGTTTCAAAGAGTAGAAATCTAGACACAAGAAATGAATCATAAAACTAACAAAGGTGCTAATTAGCAGAATCCCACTGTGGTTCCAAGTAAAAGACAAGTTAAGCACTGCCCTGGAAGGAAAAGCAACAGATCTTGTGAGTTGGAAATCCAGAGGAAAGTAACACCCAACTCCACATTTTTCAGTTTAAAAAGAATTTTTGGAAGAACTAGACTGTTAACAAAAGTGGTTAAAATGGCTTTTGTTCTGAATTTATAGTATGATAAAATTCCATAATCCTTAAAACAAACGAGCTGATAGTCAATTTGAAGGCCTGACACAAACGAGGCATGAAGTATCTCATGCCCCCCTCCAACTGTGAACTAGTGCTAAAGTAAAATTGTCATAACACTTTAGATTATTGCACACAGGGAGAATATGAAGACTGAAGTCAAGAGGATGAAAGAACAGGGAATACAGAGGTATTTCCCCCTAAATTTCATTTTGAATTCTTTTCTTCAAAATAAAAAGTTCAAGACCAAGAACAGATAAACTTAACTCTTGAAATTAGAAAATTGGTTCAATCACGTACAGAAAGAGTAAATATAGTCACTAAAAATGCATAATTACTTCTCTGAATCTCAGAAACTGTTCAGTATCCCTCCTTTCCCCTTAGCACTAAGAAAAAAATTTAAATTGCAAAAACCAGAGTGAGTCCTGTAACAATGGACTTCTAAGAAACATGCTTCAAGATCTGTTAGCAGAATTTGATTTTAGCATCAGGTATTAGTAAGATCACAATATACTTAAGTCCCTAACACCTCAACCTAAATTACTTCTCCCAAATGAATTCCTGATGACTCCTATAAAATATCTGCTTACTTGACTTAATTTTCCTATGTCCATTTATGAGATCTCTACAAAGATAAGACTCAAGGTTAGACACACTTCATTGTGTCATAACTGACTCTAGCTGACACATTTCTGATAAATGCTTCCTTCCTTCTGATAACTTACCACTGGGTAAATACAAAGTTCAAAAGACCTCAAAATATACACTAAAATTTGACTGCAGAGAATACTGAACACCCCACCTATCTTATGTTTGTATCTCAGAGTCAGAATAGGAACAAAGTGGGCAGGTATAAAAGGGGCAACAGATACTGGAAGAAAGATGGAGCAGGTTTAAGGTGCATTTCCCTGAGTTTAGCAACAACTGCCCAAACTACAAGGAACTGCCATGCTTCCTGAGATTCCACTTCCTAAAGTCACAAATCCTGGTTTCAATTTCTGAACATGCTGACAATCCCATTTTAGCTCACTATAAGCCAAACAAACTTAATGAACCTGTGAACTCCACATGGACTAGCTTTGGAATCATGGATTGAAGGACTCAAGGAGAATGTAATCTAGTAAATAGGATTTATTTAAGTATCCTAGTCAAAGTTAAATGAACTTTACCAGCTGCTTTTTGTCCCACTGAACATTTATCTTCTGGTTTCACCTCTTTTACTGAATCCCTAACCATATAGAGGTAATAGCTTGAACTATTTACTACATAACCATATTCCTTTCTTGTCACCATAGAAATATGGGTGTGGTTTTTTGGTATGAATATGATGACACATATAACCTATAATGTGGCATACAACCCTCCAGAAAATGAAACAGATAAACCAACAAAAGTTAAAAAGTTGTGAAATGTTTAAAAAACTTTTAAGTCAGCACAGAATCCTTACTCCGGAAGCATAAAGTGAGATTAAAAGCTCAGCATTCTTTCTCCTGCTTAGTCAACAAAACCAATACCCCAAAGATTCATGCCACAGTACTTGTTAAATAAATCAGCAGAACGTAGGGTATAAGAATTGGATTGCAACCCTCGATATATTTTCCCCGATTCACCCATCTCTATCCCCTACCCTAAATAAGCATCCAGAGTACTGCTTAGCACTGATGGCCAACACCAAGTCTCTGACTTGAGCTGTATGTCAAAATGCCAAGAATGGCTGTTATATCAGTGAGGAAAGGAAGGCTTCAGAACTAAGGTTAATTTTTCAATTTCCCAGTTCCCTTAGGTCATTGTCAGAATAAAATTTAAAACAACTATTCTTAAACAATGGAATGTAAGTCTTAAAATTGACTTTCTTTTATAGATTTCCACAAAAACCATTGCCATCACACCCTCAAAAATTTAAGAGGAATTTCATCCCCTAATGTACTTTCCTACCACACTAATCCTTCCAGTAAGGATTACAATGATCTAGTGCCAAGAAAAAAGGGGGTGGGGGTACATAAGCATTGCTTCATTTATAAAGCAAATTTAAAACTGTTTTAAGAACTCTAAATGCTTGGTAAGAGCCTGACAGAGAGAAAAAAATGATATATAATCCCTGTGCATTCCCTCACCCATTCAGCTGGGAGACACGATGCTGGCTGCAGCACAACTCTGCAGATTTCTGAGCTAAGGACTACTTTTGGTCCAAATCTCATTTACAACTCACTTTGGTACAAGACTTAACATCATCTGCAAAGGTCCCTCTTCAAAAGGTTAGTGGCTCACAAATGGCAAAAGGCACCAATGTGACTAGACAACATGGAAGGCTAGATTCTGAAATTCAGAACCCACACAGAACAGAGAAGATACAGATAGATGATATAATTGTTGTTATGACGACTCCAGACTCCAGTTTATACTAATGCTATACAGCCAAAAATAACAAGATACAATGGAAAGAAGCCATCACCCCAGTAACTATGATCTGCTAGAATGTGAGCTAGTTGAATAGCCATTTAAAATTTAACCAGTTTTATATATACTGTAGGAAGTTGTATATGCCAGCCTCTTGATCTCCATCTTAACTCGAATGTTGCAAGGAAACTACAAGTAGAAAAAAAACCACGTGTATATAGTTAAGTGTTTTTCTTGTTTCCGTTTCCAAAGCAGAAGCAACTTACATGTTACATCAGTGTGTCCTCCCTTCAAACTGTTTCTCCTAAAGATTTTGCTTTGTTATCCTTCATCCCACTGCATAAGGCATTAAGCCAATATAACAAGTCATCCATGTATGGTGTGTTAGCAGCATGAAGCCAAAACAGAGGCAAGAAGCCTGCCTCCTGGATCTCATTTGCACTTTGATCAAAGGAAGCAGGAAATACCATATTGCAGCTAGAAAGGCACATGCATGCCTTGCCTAGTCCAATACTCACTAGTGAGAAAATAAACCCAAAAATGTTCTGCTTGGTATACACACTAGATTTGCATTAATTTGTGAAAACAAGACTCATGTAATACATACTTATGAAACAAATATTACTTTGTTACTGTTTCAGCTCGCAAGAAAGAAGTGTTCTATATGAAATTCTAATAACATGTCCTTATACAAACCCCTAATTATGGTTGAAATAATGGTACGCAAATTATTTGTTACTGTTTTCTTTCACCCTGAAGATAACCAAAACCTGTTTATCTATTCTATCCTAGCTTTTCCTTATGGCACTGGTGCATGAAAACAACTGAATTAACTATGAGCAATGAGCTCTGCTTTTACTCCTATTTGTTTTTCATCTCATGCCCCTGACCCCTCCCCAATTAGTTCTTCCCTTCCTATAATTCAGGTTTGCCACTATCAATCAGTCTTCAAGGACAACAGAACCAAAGTCTTCTAGAATATCTCAGTCTACTAACATAGATAAAAATTATGGAATTTAGTCATAAGCTTAAAAAACCAGATACAAGGGCCACAGCAAGTGATCAGATTTCCACCACTCATCTTGGTGAGATGGGACCAAGAGGGACCCATCCCTGCTGACACCAACCATTCTTACGGGTAGCCCACCAACACACAAGCTGTCCATGGTAGAACACCACAGACTGCAGGGCATTTGGAGGCTACTTAGCCCTGAGTTCCTAGAACAGGAACCAAGGCTTGGAAGACGGTCAGTGCAGCACACTCAGCGAATGGATAAACTCAATCATCATTTCACAA